TTTGCGAATCCGCTCGACGTCGGGCAGAGCTTTGCGTTCTACATTCACGGCGTTTGTGGCTACGTCACTCTCGCGTTGGTGGTCGTCGCCGCCATTGTCGCACTTGCCATGTGCCGACAAGCCACCGGCAGCCCGACGCCGACCGACTGGCTGCGCTGGCACCGCGTTGCCGGCACAACGTGGGTCGGGCGCCCGCTGCTCGTTGTGCGTGCCCTGGCTGCCACAGCGTGTCTCTCGACCGCGCCTGTCGGCCTCAAACCAGTGGTCGGCGGTGGCAGCACCTTTGTGTCGACGCCACGCACGCTGCTCGAGTCGATGGTGCTCGCCGGAGAGTCGCTCTGGCTTGTGTACGTCTTGAACGAACTCGTGCTTTTTTGGACAAGCCGGCGCACACGTCAGTTGGCGCCAATCGTGGCCACGCTCGTCTTTGGCGTTAGCGTCCTTCTTGACGCCATCTGGCCACCGACCGTGTCGGCGTCGATCCACCGCAACTGCCGAGCCTTGCACGTCGACCACGACCTTTTATGTTCGAGCGGCGTTGTCACGATTGGGTACATCGATCGACTCGCCGTGTACCTGGGTGTGCAGTGCCTTGGCGGTCTTGTGTGCACGGTTCTGTGTCTCCTCTGGCCGTCTCCGAGTGCATCGGTCGTTGCTCCGTCGCTTTTACTGCCGGGCTATGCAACTGTGTATTTCTGCGACAGCAGTAGTAACAGCTACGAGTGGCGCATGGACCGCGTGCGGGCCGCACTTAGCGGCCTCGTCCTGTTTACTTACAAAGGCACGCTGCATGTGTTTGATTATACTCTCTGGCGCTGCCTCTCGGCGAGTGAACTTGGCATGCGCGAAGCTGCGGTCGCGACGTTCTCGCTGCCCCATACAGAGCACACCGTGCGTGGCGACAGCCCCGGCCTGGCGCACATGCGTAGCGTCGCGAGCTTCCGCGGCATGCGCGTGCTCATCAAGACGCGCTGGTTCGTCCGCGGGTCGTGGGCCCTTCTCGGGTTGGCGTACGTGGTGGTCTCGCTCGTCGGCAACGTCTACTACATGACAGTCACGTCCCCGCGCGTGCTCGCGAATGACTTTTACTGGGGCAATTTCAACAGCTCGGGCGGCCACACGTTTCTCGCCAACCTCTTCAACACGCAGCTGCTTGCAGACAGGTCCTGCGATATCGCGCTCGATGACCCTGCCCTCGGCGACATTTGCCAGCTCTACAACTCGTCGACAACCGTCATCGCATTTCCCGAGACGCTCGGTCGTCGCCAGCTCTTCCGCCCTGTAGAAGACAGCTCCGAAGTCTTAACTACAGTCGTGCGCGACCTCCGCGCCATGGACCCGTGTGCGATGCCCGCCATGTTTACGCAATACTGCTGGCTCGACTTTGCGCGTCGCTATGCAATGGCGAGCTCCGCCGCGCGTCAAGATCGGTGCGCTACGACCATGTGGGCGAATGGCGCTGTGTACCTCGAAGGTGTTTTGCGCAACCTCCGGAGCTGGGACGACTGGCAGCGCTGCTGGGGTCGCTCGTTCCAGCTCGGTTTTGCTGATGACTTGGAGCGCACGAGTGACGGTCGTCGCTGGCTCGAGAGCACCAAAGACGTGTCGACGACACTTGGTGACGAAGTGGTCTATTGGCAAGCGCAGCGCATACGTCACTTCACGCTGCAGTGGCAAAACTACAAGACACTCGGCTTTGCCGACAGCTTTCGCATCACCAACGCGTTGGGGTTCGACTACGATCTGACACTGGCCCTCGTGGATAGCGAGGTGCACTGGCACCAGCAGACGTCGCTCAAGATGTACTGGTCGTTTGCGTCCGACCTCTGGGCCATTGCGACCAACACGACGTTTGTCGGTGGGCGTAGTCTGCTGCGTGCGAGCGCGCGCTTTGCCTTTGCCAACGTGACGAGCGCGATGCTACTGACGCAGAACCTCACGCTCCCGAGTCCACTTCCGGCCGGACTGACGCTGCTGGCATCGACGATCGGGCCGTTTGGCAGCGTGGACATGGTCTACGTGCCGTGTCCGGCGTCGCTGCTATCGTGGTACCACCGCATGCTCTCGAGTCTGAACCGACT